CATTTCCCCTTGGCTCGGGCCGCGTGGCTTTGTGTGACCCCACCTGACCCTTCCCAGGGCCCTGTGCCCTCGGGTAGCAGAGCCCTGGATCCAGCTGGAACCAGGAACAGGGCAGGGCTCATCACTGACCCCTGTTGTTCAGCGGCTGGAGGTGTATGGGGAGATGCAGGCACGGCATGTTAAGCGGGTGGGAGTGGATGGGCCGGTGGCTGCAGGGAAGCCCTGGGAGGTGGGGAGGTCTGACTGCCTGATTCTGGCGCCGGTTGCCTACTGGCCTCGGCCCCAGCACACATGAGAGCAACCCAAGGGCTGCTTTAGTACATGGGGCTGGTCACAATCCCATCCAGCAGCGCGCTCCATCCATGCCACGACCACGCCACGTGCTGGAGGCTGCATGTGCCTCTTAACGCTGGCTCTGTGCCAGGCAGGGCAATCCCCACCTGGGCACTGGTGGCCAATGTCTGGCCCCAGGGGCCACCGGAGCAGGGTGGGGAGCCTGGCCCTGCGTGTGTGCGGTGTCATGTCTAAGCGGGAGTGAGCAGGGAGTGTATCCATGTGCCGGGACATGTGGGAAACATGGGTGCATCAGTCATAACGTGTGTGCTTGGCACAGTATCCGCAACAGGCCTGTGAGAGGGCAAAGGGCTTGTGGGACCTCCTGCAGGAGCACCCCTTGCTCGCGAGCGCCCTGCTAATCCTGCCTCTTTCTGTCTCTCTCCCCTCGCAGGAGAACATCTCTGGGGTGTTCAACAAGTCCTGTGCAATCAGCTACACCTCCTACCGCAACGTCTTCCCCATCTGGGCCCTTGGGCGCTTTGCACGCCTGCACCCCGGCAGCGCCCTTGCTGGAAAGCTGCAGCCCAGGTCCTTGCACAGCCAAGAGGAGATCCTGGCTGGAGGGAAGCGGGATGGGGTTCTGTCAGGGTCCCCCTTTGCCTGAGCCTGGGCCCTGCCCATGCCCCATGGCAGGCCTGCAGCCTCAGTGACACCCTAGCTGGATTTGCTTGGCTACAAGGCTGTTTACGGGAGGCTGGCAGGCCCTGGCGCTGTGTCGTGGTCCATGAGGACTCTGCAAACTGATTCTAGCTCCGGGCCTACGTGTGGGCTTGGAGGGGGCAGCAAGTGTGTGGGCACTGGCTGGCTTATAGTCAAACATGCTGTACGTCTGGGGCTTGGCTTGAATGGACCCCTCTTCCCGGACCCATTGTGTAAAAGGCTGTGTGTCTGCAGGTGAACGCTGCTGCGCAGGACAGGCTGCTGTGGTGTGACAAAGTGGGAATGTTCTTAATGTTTTCTCTGAATGCTGTGTGGGTGTCTCAGTTTCCCCTATGCCTTTCTAGGTGGTGGGGATCAGGGTGTGTGATTGTTGCAGAGCCCTTGAGGGTAGGGGTGTGCAGGGATCTGCACAGAGAACGGCCAACACCCTGTCTCCTGGCAACTGATGGCCTGGGCCCCTCCCCTGCAAAGGTGCCAACTGAAGGTGTTATAGAACAAAGAGATCAGGTGACCTCCTGGCCCAGGAAAAAGACAAAGGCCAGAGAGGAAGGGCTGGAGGGGTTTTCAGTCTGGAGCTGGCTGGGGAAATGGAGGGAGGCCCAGACGGGGCTCTGGGCTCCCTGCCTCCCCAAGATGGACCTGACTGAGAGGTCCTGGTCTCTGTACCTACAAGCTCTGTTTTCGACCATGCTCCTGTTGTCTAATAAACCTTCTGTTTTACTGGCTGGCTGAGAGTCACGTCTGACTGCCGAGTTGGGGTGCAGGACCCTCTGGCTTCCCCAGGAGCCCCACCTGGGCGGACTCGCTGTGGGAAGCGCACGGTGCCGAAGGGGATGCTGAATGCTCCGAGGCCAGACCCAGGAAGGCCGAAGCTGTGTAAGCTGCTTGCCCTGGAGACAGTCTGCTCCCAAAGAGGAGGCTCCCCCAGAGTCCTGACTGGCTTTGTAGGGAGTAGTTCCAGAGCATCGCCCAGTGACTCCGTGACATGGGGGGTGGGGCCTAACCATATGACCTTGAGCATGTCTGCACTTCAAGCTGGAGGAGACACGCCAGTGCTCACTGAGATCGAGTTCGGGCGCTAACCCACGGGTTCCCAAACCTGTTTCCCTGCGGCCCGCCTGTGCAGCTGCCATGGCGCTGCCGCCCACTAGTAACA